AACCCTAAACTACTGCAAATTCAAGTAGCTGATCACCTTCCAAATATCAAAGTGTAGCCTTTGGCTAGAATGGTTTTCGGAGTTTAATTTTCATGAGCATTGCACTGTGGGTGATAATGCACTTCTTAGACTTTTTAGATGAAATGGTATTCCGTATCTTAGTTTTCCCCCTGCAGCTTTATTGTTTGTTTTGCACAGAGTAGCAGCCGTAGTTTTATTGTTTGTTTGTTTTCTGATCGTGGCGTGTTGGTCTGGGTTAATAACACGGTGCAGGAAGTTCGCTCCCGCTGCGCCGTGTCCGTGAGGAGTGTGCCGGGTGAGTCGTGAAAGGTGCGTGGGACTCGGGCTGTGGGAAGTAAGGGGGTGGCGGCAGAGGCTGCGCTCGGAGTGGGGGCCTGAGGGCCTGCCGAGAGAGCAGCTGCAGTCACTTGACCTGTTGGGTGGCAGTCCTAGTGACCTGGGGGTGGAGGGCGCTGTCCAGGGCCTTTCTCTCTCATATCCGAGTTCTGGTGTCAGGCTTCGGATGTTCTCAGAGATCCATCTCCGTGTGTCTCTGGCACGCCACTGTTCCTCGCTGCTTCCACCTCCGCAGCTCCCTGACTCCTCAGCTGGCTCCTGTCCTTGACTGTCCTCCGAATCTGGGGGAGCAGCCGGGGCTGCTTCCTTCTCTTCTCTGCCTGTGCTCCGCTCACTGGCGACCGCAGCTTCGTGGTTTCCAGTCCTTCTCCCACTGAGGTCTCCAGGCCGGGCCTCTGCCGCACGCACGTCCAGCTGCCCACTTACTCCTTACAACAGGTGTGTCCACCTCGACTTGTCCAAATCGGGACTCCTCATCCTACCCCCTAAAATCCATTCTTCCCTCCCTCTCCCCTCTTTCAGTACCTGCCAGCCCAGTTTTTCTTACTCAGCACAGAATCCTTGGAGTCACTTCTGATACCTCTCCCATTCCCTCCTCCCCTCTGCCTCTCCAGTTTGTCAGCAGATCCTGTACTTGATCCGCAATTGGATCACTTCTCCCCACCTCCATCATTACCATGTTGGGGCTGAGCCACTCTGGTCCCTCCCCTTGAACTGCCCCCTCCAGCTTCTGCCCTGGCCACCCTGTGCTCTGTTCCCTACACGGGCCCCTCGGCGCCACCATTTTCACTTCAAGTTAGAGCGTGTCAATCCCTGTTGCAAATCCTCAAGTATAATTCAGAGTCCTGAACATTGCCCTTCCCCCGTGAGTTCCTAGGGATCTAAAGGGATGATTGAATAGATACCCAAATGGAAGAAAGTAGACAGAGTTCCCCTGTGGAAGGATTCTCAATAATTCACGAAGTATAACTCTCCACCCCTTAGGTGTGGGCTGTGCATAGTGACTTCTTTCTAAATAGTACAGAGGGGCGGGGAGGGGGGTGAGTAACTTCGCGGTGGAGAAACATGACAAGCACTGGGACAACTCAGAGAACGAGGCCAGCCTCAGCACGGAGAAGGCACGGGCATGTGATGAAAACGGCACTTCACCTCCTGCCCCAAACACACGGCCCCGGGGCGGTCATGGGAGGAGCGCCAGGCAGACCCCACTGGGGTCCTGTTACGGAATGCCTGACCAGTGGTGGTCCTCGGAACTGTCTGGGTCATTAACGAGAAGGAAAATCCGAGACACTGTGACAGTCCAGAGGAGTTGGAGACAGGACGACGTGGTGTAAGGTGGTGGTGGTCTTGGATGGGATTCTGGGACAAAAAAGGGGCATCAGGACTTCAGTAGTTCGGATCGGTGTATCCAATTAGTTCATTCGTTGTGGCAATGGTGCCTTACTTAGGTGAGCTGTTCTCAGTAGGAGAAATGATCTTAACTTTTTTGTAAATCTGAAACTATTCTAAAATTAAAAGTTTGCATTAAAAAAAGGCCCCCTGACTGCCCTCCCCTAACCCGTGTGCCCTAGCCACAATGGTCTCTTTGTTGCTTCTCTGCCAGTGGAGACTTTGAGCCCCAGGAGGGAGATATTTGGCCATACCTGGAGACGTTTTCAGTGGGTGGGGAGGTTGTGCTCCAGGCTCTTACTTCGCGGGTGGAGACCAGGACTAGTCATAAACACCCTAGAATGCTTGGGGCAGCTTGCTAAACTCCCCCTCCAAAATGTGAAACACACACAATTCCAAAATGTGGAAAGTGCTGAGGCTCAGAAACCCCGGCCCTTTTGAATGTAGGGTTCTCTCCTTCCCTTTAGGCTCCTGACCAGTCTCGCTGGGCCTGCTCCATTTATTTTTCTGCTTCTCACTCGATCATCATCAGCACCCGATGTAGTCTGTTGACATGTTTGCCACCAGGAAATGTGTCGCCGTGAGAGTGTGTTGGTGGGCTGTTTGCTTCACTTTTGTGTCCCCGACATCTACAGCTGTTGCCAGCACATTAAATGTTTGTTGACCGAATCAAATACTTGATAAAGGGAGTGAATGAATGATAAAGGTAATGTATGCTTATGCCCGAAACTTCAGATAGAAAAGTAAAAGTGGAAGCATGTCTCCAGCTGCCTGTTCCCTAGAAGTTACCACAGTTAACAATATTTTTTATTTGTGTCCAGATTTTTCTGTTCATTTTTAAGCACATTTGTGTGCCCTCTGCACACAGTTTATCTCTCTTCTCCTTTTATTTTGCAGATGTAAATGGGGTCAGTTTAGTTTTTCCAGCATGTCTATCTGGGCATCTTTTCGTATCAACCGATAGAGTGCTGCCTTATTGCTTCAGTGCATGATATTTTATATGTAGAATTAGGCAAAAACAATTTTAAGATATTATTTATTTGTAGAGGGGAAGGGAGGGAGAAAGAAAGGGAGAGAAACATCAGTGTGTGCGTGCCTCTTGTGCACCTCCTACTGGGGACCTGGCCCACAACCCAGGCATGAGCCCTGACTGGGAATCAAACTGGTGACCCTTTGCTTTGCAGACCAACACTTAATGCACTGAGCCACGCCAGCCAAGGTGAAGCAAAAATTTTTAATTGCTTATGGTAGAATCCTAGTATAATTGTTGTCAAGTAGATAATAGTAATAGTATGTTCCCTAAAACAAAGACAATGTTTGTTTAACATCATCTTTTTAAGTGTTCTTTAAAGCATTTTATATCCATGTATCTATCTATCTTTAGTTACTCCTCGTTTGTAAATGCCTCGGGATGCATTCAAATTCACCTGAGTTTCGGAGCTGTTGACTAAATAAAGGAACAGTTCTGAGAGAAAACTGTTCTGTTGCTTTGTTTAAATGAGACTTGTTCTTCTAGAGGCCAGGTATCTGTCTCATTTCCCTCCTTTCTCTGCTGAGCTGAAGGCTACTATCTACAGAACAAGGTAGGGCGCTCCACTGGAACACAGGGCTCAGTATCAATTAGCTCCTAGCTGCTTTCAGCAAACCAGGCCCCGCCCCCGCCCTTCCCCCAGTGGAATGAGTGATGGGGCGGAGCTGGCAGCAGCTGGCTGAGTTAGGAGACTGTGCCTGAGTATGGCCATACTGATTTCACCCTGGCTGTGCAGCCTCCAGTCTGCTGTGTCTTTCACCTTTGGCAGCATTCACGTTCCATGAACATGCATTTGAGAGTCACTTTGCCACAAGGGACGGTGCTGTCCTCTGCTCTCAGTGCTGGGATGTTGAAGAAGCCACCTTGAGTTGCAAGGTGAGTTTGGCATTTCGGGTAACAGTCGGTCGGACGGTAATCGTTCTGCTCCGGTGCCAGACCTCAGCCCCGTGGACTGCCTTGCCCCCACTTGTTCAAGGCAGCCCCTTCTTCTCCCGTGGCTTTTCCTGGACTCCTCCCTCTGACTCCCACAGTGCCTGCCGCCTTGCTGCATGGATCAGCCCCCCCCGCCTTAGCCTCAGTGGTTAGGCTGTGCATGAGTGTGTGTGGGTGTGTGTGCGTGTGTGTGTGTTGTGTTCCCGTGTCAGGTTGGTTGTTCGGTGCCCTGAGGACTGGGGGTACTCTGTGAGCGCTGGTTGCTGACAACAGCGGTGATAAGACATTGATGTGATTGGTGAGAGGTGCTTCTCGCTGACTTTCGGAGGAGAAGTTCTGTTCATCATCAGGCTGCTGGTTTTCCTTTTGTAAACTTTTTTTTTTTTTTTTTGCTTTCAGTGGTTCAGAAATTACCTCAGTCTCACACTTGAATGACATAATTATTTTAATACACTGAAGTTGTGATATAGTACCGAGACAGTGAACCTTTCCACTTAATCATATAAAGAAATAATTTCAGGATACATTTTGAAATGAAATTACAAGCTATCTTTATGAGAAGTCATATAAAACTATTGCCCAGAGGTTTTTTTACTTTTTATTGTTATTAAATTAGTTGTTCAAAGCTTCCCATGCTCAGGAGATGGTAGTAGCACTGAGTTTGTGAGCATTTATTGCACAGGTGGCAAACGCCAGGCCCCCAGGCTGAATCCAGCCCTTCGCCTTGTTTTATCCAGTCCCACACCTTGTTTCTACCCTGCTGCCATGCCCAGCTGCCAAGCTCTCGCTTAACTGTTAGGGAGCAGTTACATTTACACAGTCCTAAATTTACATCCGGCCCTTTGAAGGCAGCAGCGAGGCTGATGTGGCCCCCGGTGGAAACGAGTTCGAGACACCCCTGCTTTATTGTATGTGAGTGAATGTAAACAATGTAGCTATCCTCCTTTTTAACAATTGCTTATACTTGCCTTGAAGATTTAAGTGTTAGAATACACTTTAGTTGTTACGATTGGCAGTCTTTCATCTGATGCTCGTTAGGATTCTTTACCTCGAGTCATTAAAATATGGAAAGGAGTGTTCTTAAACTTAGTAACTCTAGACGAATAAGAAGAGCTGATACTTACATTGGAAGACGGAAAAAAGCTAACACCATTCATTTGTTCGTATTCCACAAAGATGGAAAACACTTGATTAATATGTAAGGTCTCCAACACCCTGCAAGGGGGGAAAATTACATTTTCGGGTTGCATTTCTCCGAAGTAACGGTCGCTCCCTCTCTGCTCCGCTGCAGGCTCCCGAGAGCGGCGCCATGGGGAGGCATGTGGCCGCGCTTCTGCTCCTCCTCCTCCAGCACCTTGCGGACGGCCACGGCGGCCAGGCCCCGCGGTTCACGCAGTCCCACTACAACGTCACCGTGCGCGAAAACTCCGCAGCCAAGACCTACGTCGGGCACCCTGTGAAGATGGGCGTCTACCTTACAGACCCCTCGTGGGAATTAAGGTACAAGATTGTCTCAGGAGACAATGAAAACCTGTTCAAAGCGGAAGAGTACCTTCTCGGAGACTTTTGCTTCCTAAGGATACGGACCAAAGGAGGAAATACAGCTATTCTCAATAGAGAGGTGAGAGACCACTACACGCTGGTCGTCAAAGCCCTCGAAAAGCACACTAATGCCGAAGCTCGGACGGTGGTCAGCGTGCAGGTGCTGGATACAAATGACTTGAGACCGCTGTTCTCGCCCACCTCCTACAGCGTCTCCTTACCTGAAAACACGGCCCTGCGGACCAGCATCGCGAGAGTCAGTGCCACCGACGCCGACATAGGGACCAACGGAGAGTTCTACTACAGCTTTAAAGACCGAACGGACATGTTCGCCATCCACCCCACGAGCGGCACGGTCGTGCTGACCGGGAGGCTGGACTACGCGGAGACGCGGCGCTACGAGATGGAGATCCTCGCCGTGGACCGCGGCCTGAAGCTGTACGGCAGCAGCGGCGTCAGCAGCATGGCCAAGCTGACGGTGCACGTCGAGCAGGCCAACGAGTGCGCCCCTGTGATAACCGCCGTGACGTCGTCGCCGCCGGCGGAACTGGACAAGGACCCCACCTACGCGATCCTGACGGTGGATGACTGTGACCAGGGTGCCGGTGGGGAAATAGCTTCCCTAAGCATTGTGGCAGGGGACGCCCTTCAGCAGTTCAGAACCGTGAGGTCCTCTCCGGGGAGCAAAGAGTATAAGCTCAAGGCCGCGGGTGGCGTGGACTGGGACAGTCATCCCTTTGGCTACAACCTGACACTGCAGGCGAAAGACAAAGGAACGCCCCCCCAGTTCTCTTCTGTGAAGGTGGTTCACGTGACCTCCCCCCAGTTCCGAGCTGGGCCGGTCAGGTTCGAGAAGGAGGTGTACAGGGCAGAGATCAGCGAACTGGCTCCTTCCCACACGCCCGTGGTCATGGTGAGAACCACGCCGAGTTATTCCCATGTGAGGTATGTCTTCAAGAGCGCCCCTGGAAAAGCTAAGTTCAGTTTAAATCACAACACTGGGCTCATTTCCATCTTGGAACCAGTGAAAAGACAGCAGGCATCGCAGTTTGAACTCGAAGTGACCACAAGCGACAGAAGAGCCTCGACCCGGGTCCTGGTTAAAGTCTTAAGTGCTAACAGCAACGCCCCTGAATTCACCCAGACGGCGTACAAAGCCTCTTTCGACGAGAACGTGCCCGTCGGCACGACCGTCCTGAGTGTGAGCGCCGCGGACCCGGACGAGGGTGAGAACGGGTACGTGACCTACAGCATCGCCAACGTCAACCCCGTGCCCTTCGTCATCAACCACTTCACCGGGGCTGTGAGCACGTCGCAGGTCTTGGACTATGAGCTCATGCCCCGCGTCTACACCCTGCGGGTCCGCGCGTCGGACTGGGGCCTGCCGTACCGTCGCGAGGTCGAGGTCCTCGCCACCCTGACTCTGAACAACCTGAATGACAACACGCCCTTGTTTGAGAAGATCAACTGCGAAGGAACCGTCCCCCGGGACCTCGGGGTGGGGGAGCAAATAACTACCGTTTCCGCCATTGACGCCGACGAACTTCAGCTGGTCCGCTATCAGATCGAGGCTGGGAATGAACTAGATTTGTTCAGCTTGCATCCCAGCTCCGGGGTGTTGTCCTTAAAGCACTCGCTGATGGACGGTGTGGGGGCCAAGGTGTCATTCCACAGTCTGAGGATCACGGCTACCGACGGAGAAAATTTTGCCACCCCGTTGTACATCAACATGACCGTGGCCGTCACTCGCAAGCCGGTGCACTTGCAGTGCGAGGAGACGGGCGTGGCCAAAATGCTGGCCGAGAAGCTCCTGCAGGCCAACAAGCTGCACGGCCAGGGGGAGGTGGAGGACGTTTTCTTCGACTCTCATTCTGTCAATGCTCACGCACCGCAGTTCAGGAGCACCCTCCCCGCCGGCATCGAGGTGAAGGAGAACCGCCCCGTGGGTTCCGGCATCATCCTCGTGAATGCCACCGACCTCGACACGGGCTTCAACGGGAAGCTGGTCTACGCGATCTCGGGAGGAAATGAGGATAGTTGCTTCGTTATCGACATGGATACTGGGATGCTAAAAATTTTGTCTCCACTTGACCGGGAGACCACAGACAAGTACACCCTGAATATTACAGTGTCCGACCTTGGCATACCGCAGAAGGCCGCCTGGCATCTCCTCACTGTCAGGGTGCTGGATGCCAACGACAACCCCCCTGAGTTTTTACAAGAGAGCTATTTTGTGGAGGTGAGTGAAGACAGGGAGGTAAACAGTGAGATCATCCAGGTGGAAGCCACAGATAAAGACCTAGGGCCAAACGGACAGGTGACCTACTCTCTTCTCACAGACACGGATGCGTTTTCCATCGACAGCGTGACGGGCGTGGTCACGGTCGTGCGCCCGTTGGACCCCGAAGTCCAGCACGTGCACTACTTAAAGATCGAGGCCAGGGACCAAGCCACAGAAGAACCTCAGTTGTTTTCCACGGTGCTTTTGAAGGTCTCGGTAGAGGATGTTAACGACAACCCCCCTCGCTTCATTCCACCTAACTACCGTGTGAAAGTTCGAGAGGACCTCCCGGAAGGAACCATCATCATGTGGTTAGAGGCCTATGATCCTGACTTAGGTCAGTCCAGTCAAGTGCGATACAGTCTCTTGGACCCAGGAGAAGGAAGCTTTGACGTGGATAAACTCAGCGGAGCAGTGAGGATTGTGCAGCAGCTGGACTTTGAGAAGAAGCAAGTGTATAATCTCACCGTGAGGGCCAAAGACAAGGGGAAGCCGGTCTCCCTGTCGTCCACGTGCTACGTGGAGGTCGAGGTGATTGACGTGAACGAGAACTTACACGCGCCGGTGTTTCCCAGCTTTGTGGAGAGGGCCGTGGTGAAAGAAGATGTCCCCATCGGCTCTTCAGTGATGACCGTGTCCGCGCACGATGAAGACACCGGGAGAGATGGAGAGATCCGTTACTCCATCAGAGACGGCTCGGGTGTTGGCGTTTTCAAAATAGATGAAGAGACAGGTAATTATGTCCTTATTTCTCTGTTGGAGCTCCCCTCCCGTGTGTTCTGCGGTAGATCTCTCTCCTTCACGGTTCCCTGTTGCTCCCCGCCAGCCTCTGTTAGGACTCAGTACAGAAGGGCGTGTGTGCTCTCCGTCCTGTTGCAGGTGTCAGTATGTGACGTGAGTCTTGAAGATGGAACCAGAGGAACCTGAAGGAACAGCCACATCATGAGTAAAAAATGAGGAAGCATGAGATCACGATCCCTGATACTGATCTCTGAGGCTGGACTGTCTTATCAGAAGCATCCCTGTGGTTTTGCTGTAACTTGGAGAAGCCTTGGCAGCGTTTTTCAGGCTAATCTGTGTACGGACTTAGAACAGCCACTACCGCCCCCTAGCATGCTGTTCGCGGGTTATCGCAAACCCACAGAATTACACAGCGCATGGAGAGGCTAAAGCTCGTGACACGGGACCTGCTGTGCTTAGTGCCCCCTCCAACCCTTGTTTGAGAGGCAGATGTACAGTGTGGAATAGAGAAGAGCTGGCTTAGAAGTTTGGCTCTTTCTGTTGTCAGTTGGGTGATCTTAGACAAATTAGTTATCTTCTGAAAACTGGCTTTCTTCATCTATAAGATGGGCACACTCAAAATTACCGCAAGATTTACGTGAGGATAAAGTGAAATAAGAAGGAAAAGCTAAAAGCTCCCTAGCAGGTTGGATTGTATTATTGTGTTGAAAACGATAGCGGTGCTTTGCTATGATAATTCTTCCTCTTAGTAAAGGTCCCCAAACCACAACATCCAAGACAGCCACTTTGTGGTGGAGTGTGCATTGTCTTGCACTCTGTCTACATCTCTCTGTCTCTTTTTTAAGATTTTATTTATTTATTTTAGAGAGCAGAGAAGGCAGAGAGTAAGAGAGGGAGAGAAACATCCATGTGTGGTGGCTTCTCAACGTGGCCCCCACTGGGGACCGGGCCCGCAACCCAGGCATGTACCCTGACTGGGAATCGAACTGGCAACCCTTCGGTTTGCAGCCCGTGCTCAGTGCACTGAGCCACACCAGCCAGGGCTCTGTGTACATCTCAATTGAGCTGCTTTCCATGGCTATTACCTATAGTTCTGTGTCATTCACCTCTGATGGGAGGTGAGCCTTTGAATCACTTTGCTAGGGCCACCATAACAAAGTACCACGGACCAGGGGGCTTGAACATCAGAAATTTATTTTCTCCCAGTTCTGGAGACCAGAAGTCAAAGGTCAAGGTGTGGACGTGGTAGGTTTCTTTTGAGACTTCTCTCCTTAGCTTGTAGATGCGTATCTTCTCTCTGTGTCTTTCTTTATCTGACTGTCCCTGTCTGCCCATGTCCTCATCTCTCATGAGGACACCATCCCACTGGATTGGAGACCGCCGTAGTAACCTCATTGTGACTCAGTTGTCCCTTTAAGGCCCCGTCTCGAAGTACAGTCAACATGAATTGCGGGCGTTATAATTCACCCCCCAAAGCACCTTGAAGAGCCGGCTTTTCATTAGCTCCTGCATTTTCTCTCCTCAGCATCTCCTAGCCAGAAGTGCCTGTCATGTAGAATTTGCTCATTAAATGTTAAAAGGCCGAGTGATTAAATTAATGATTACTTTGGCTTTGAATGTTTTGCCCTTGGAGAATGGCAGTGGGCATGGAAAGAAGCTGGGTAATCACAGCATTGATCAGCCATAGTTGGAGCTCAGTTTGTTTACTAATCTCATTGATATGTCCTTTATTAATCATCCCATTCTAAGCAGGGATGTTTCCTTATTACATTAAAACTTTTTTTATAATCAGCCATACCACTGAGTATTCAGTCAGTGCCCATCCCAGAATCACTCCCACGTCTAATAGGTATATAGCACACGGAAAATATAATAATTATTCCCCTGGAAGTAAGTTATTTAAGATGCTATAATATTTTTAATGTGCTCTAGGTTATTCAAGGGAGTTTTTTCTAATGAATTAAATACTATTGTCATGTATTAGTGTTATTTGTACACACACACAAACCTTATATAACACTCATCTAAAATACCCGAAGTATTTTATTTAATTCAAGAGAAAATAGCATCATCAACAGCAGTTAGTAATCACTCATCTGAACAGAATGAATAGATTTTTTTGGGGTCATATTCTCCATCATGAATTCGAATTTTCAGATGCAACGTCAACAGAAAAATACCCCCAAATTAGCAACGGAAGCTGACACTGCGAAGTGTTCTGTGTTTCCTCAGGACAGTTATTCCTGCTTTTCTTTTTCTTTTTCCAAGTGGGTTTTGCAAGCCCATAAACAACGGTTGTAAAAAAAAAAGTTCAGACAGAAAATAGAACCAAAATCCTCATTTACATTTCTTTGATGACTTCACTGATATGAGGACTGCCTTTTGGTTGTTTTTTTCTTTCAAGTTAAAAGAGGAACTTTTTGTGGCTTTTTCAAAACTCATGTAGAAATAAATATTTTTCACTTGTAAATCTAAGAGACTGAGATATTTTTAGGGTCCAGAAAGAAAAACTGAGGGAAGAACCCAGAGACCAAGGCTGCCTCCAGAGCAGTTTTCGAGCTGAATGGCAGGGCCAGACCTTTCCAGGGGCAACTCGGCAGGAGGCCAGGGGACCTTGGGCCGTGGGGTGGGGAAGGATACATGAAACTGTTCTGCATTTGTATAAATACTGAGATTTAAAAGTGAAGGGAAAGTTGGCCGATTTTAGGTCATCTATCCTGTAATCCTTGCTTTACAAAGCAAAATATGTACTGTACAATACATTTATGTGTATATTCTTTTTGGAATTAAATAAAAATGATGTAGCATTTATACATCGGCCTGGTACACATTGCAAAATGTGTTTCTGGCAGTAGAATTATCAGCCCCAGCTACTGTAGCGCATCCTGGCAAGTCAGCTGACACCGTGATGTAGAATTCCTTCAGGAAGAGTCAGGCTTTGTGCAGTAGAAATACTAAAATTAGGCATGCTAATGCTTCATGTGGGATTTGTCTAATTTCTGTGACAGGCTGCAAGAGTAGAGAGCTGCTTGTGAGATGAAGAAAAGAAAGGGCAGTTCAGGAACACCAGTGGGGGTCCCGTGGGACCAGCGCTGACGCTGGGCGTGAACCGAGTCGGCCCGGCTTGGGTCAGGTTTTTATTAGCACCTTCCTAGAAGTTCAGTGTCGGCTTGTGCAGCGTCCCCGGCTCTGCCACACTCTCGGAGCCTCCCCTGCCCCACCTTTGCTGCTGGGCTACGTGGTAGGGGTCCACACAGGAGGGCCTTGCCTCTGGACACCAGGAACCTGCCCACTACACTGTTGGCTCTAATGCCTTGGACCTAACTTTAAACTGTAGAGTTCGTTGAGTCATGTACCCAAGTCTTTGCGATGGTTTACCTATTTTAACATTGTCAAACAGATGAATCAGTGTACTTGTCATCGAACAGAGAACATATTCAGAGATCTGAATTTAGTTCTTGTTGTTAAGATTCTTTTAAAAAAACTGCTTACATTTGAAACATTTCCTGAAAAGGAGCATTTTTTAAAAAAACAGAAGTTCTGTGGACTCCCTAAAATATGTGTAGTCCTGTCGGGCCTGGACTTTGGACATGTTTTGCTCATTGGCTTTGCAGGGAGGTAACGGGCAGGGGCAGCGCGGGGGTGACGGTGACTCACGGGGGTGACGGTGACTCACCGGAGTCGCGCTCACTGTGTCCCGGTGCCTTTCCCAGAGGCCTCGGGTGGGTGCTGGTGAGTTGTTCTGACAAGCCGTCCCCGCACGAGGGCCCGCCCGTGGGGGGTTTGGACGGGTGCAGTGTGATGTGAAAAACGATGGGGAAAGTCAGCCTTGTGAGAGGGCCCGTCTGCAGCGCTGTCATTAAGATTCTCCCCCTTCCTGTGTCCACACCTACGGCGAGGGGGGTCGGAGAGCGGGTTTAACAGAAGTGCTGGCGGAGTGAGGCTCCCTGAGGCACGCGGGATTCCACATTTAGGTCTTGATTCGCCTGACTCAGATACTCCTCAGCATTCACCCCGTTTGCACTTCAAATATGTTCCTGCCCCCTTTGTTGTACGCGTCAAAGTTGAGAGCATAGCATCTTGAGCATCTGTCCTCAGGTTTGTGGAATCAATTCAGCTTAGTGTTCTTGGCCGATGGGTACCCTCCAGGTGAATTATTAACTTGAGCACCAATAGAAAGTAGTTGCAGCTTTTCGCTGATTTTTCAGACTTGGGCTGTGTCTAGAAACGTGGTTGGCCGGAGGTCTTTCAGATTGTTCACAGAGACCGACGTAGGCCTGTGGCCCCCTGGCGCACGGATTAGGATGGGATGCCTGGAAGCACGTGCCCCCTCCAGGCTGCAATACTTCGGTTCCGTTTTCAGTAGTTTTTCTAGCGCAGCCCACTAAGAGTGTGTCCCCCTGGACAACTTAGGTGAGGAGACCACGTTTTTCATTAAGATAAGAGCAGATTCTGGACCTATGAGTGCGGCGTTCCTCTTAGAATCCCAGCTGAGGTTTCGGGATCGAAGTGGACGTTTTGATGAAAAGACTTGGAATGAATTAGCATGGGAGTGCAGCTGCTGTAACCAGATAAATCACCACTCGTGGAACACGGGCGGAGGGGAGTAGTCGGGAGCCCGTTTTTCTTGAGAGAGTCCGGCCACATCCTCCTCGTGGGGGAGTGTGGCCGCCTGCCCCCCCATTCCTCTCTGGCCTGCCTGGAGGCCGGCCCCTGGCCTTCCTCCGCCAGGAAGACACAAGGCTAACGCGTTTGTCTGGTGGGAACAGGAGGAAATTTTAATGAGAGGGGAATGTGTCTGGGACTCCTGTCCGGTTTGGCAGAACGCTGAGTTATTTTAATGATTTATTCAAGTTTTTCAACAGCCTTTCTCAACTGGAAGTAGGATATTTTCCATGCGGCCCGGGACCTGTGTTTTTTCCTAGGGCCTGTCCTCTCACGGCAGGAAACAAGATGCAGAGAGCATCAGTGGGCTCAAGTGCCACGGTGACA